TACTAGAAGGTTCTGCATTTCTTTGTACTAGGGAAGAATCTAAATATAATGAATTATTTAATCATCTACACCAGTGTTTTTCAGGCGGTGGTTGTGAATTTCTGATGGCTGTACAACAGCAGAAAAAAGAGCTTCCAAAACATTTTAGAAACCCTATAAAGTTTAGAAATCAGGTTTTCAAAAGTACTCTGTTGCCTTAATGAGGTTTTACCTTGAATTTAAAAGGAAATTGAATTGTATAAATGTTAAATGATTGGATAGTTCCATTCCGTAATTTTCAGCAGCATTTTTTTTTGCAATTTATAACCTACTTTCCAGGAACATTTCTCAGTGGTTTCAGCTGACATTTCATAACGATGAAGACAAAAGTGCTCTTAACTATTCCATTCCATAATTTTCAGCAGCATTTTTTTTGCAATTTTTAACCTACTTTCCAGGAACATTTCTCAGTGGTTTCAGCTGACATTTCATAACGATGAAGACAAAAGTGCTCTTAACTACACTTATTGCATTGAATTGATGGTCACAAATACTTCTGGTTTTATAACATCAAAACCACTCTCAGATCTGACCGAAATTTTTCAGCAGGTGGACAGTAAAAATTTATTTAGGAATATCTTTCAAGGAACTATGATTTTGTTTGAAGAATGAACTTTTTTTTTTTCCAAAACAGATGACAGTGTATAGCTCAGAGTTGTTTTGTCTAACTTCATCGCTGTTTTCCATGAACTACATTAATGTAAATGACTTCCAGTTTGTCTAAAATGAAGACATTTGGGCAATTAATTTCTGAACTTGAGAAGAAGTTGTTAATATTGGCCTTCTACACATTGTGGAGAAGAAATTTATTTTTAGACAATAGATTTTTTTAACAGTTTTCTGAAATCAAATAATTTGGTAGAAATGTCAATGAATGGTTGGTGAACAACAGAGTAGGTTTTAAAACACCACCCATCTATTAGTAAAATTGAATGCATAAATCTGTTTTACGGTTACTAATTTACTTTTCTTATTATTATTCTTCAGATGATCTACATGTTAAAAGTAGCTGTCCAATCTGCAGCATGCTACTGGAAATGCAAAAGTCTATACACATAGAGAGATTATTTCCTCAATATTTTGAGATAAATTGTTTGATATGCAGCTGCTTTATAATATTTTTTCTTTGTCATGTTTATGGAAGCTTTAATCTCTACTATAAACTTATTGTAACACTCCACATTGTAATACTCATCCCTCCAAGGAGAAGTGCATTATTACAATAGCATATCAAGAATTTGCTTTCCTTTCAGATTTACTAATGGCTTGTCACAGTGGCATTTACATCTATGAGTGAATCCTATTCATGTAATTTGATTTTTCTTTCCCAAACAACAAACAGCTATGATGGAGAAGGTAACTACTGCTATTATTAGACAGAAACCACAACACTGTAGAAATGACAAAGAGGCTTCTAAAAGGAGTTTTTTAAACAGTATAATCTGTCAATTCACTATATGTGATGCAGACAGATGATCTATCCAGAGCAAAGAAGGGCTTTTTTTCTTTTTAATTATCAGTAGTTAATTTGTGAAAAAATATACATTAAGAGGATCAAAGCCATATGAATTTGAATTGAATTCATTAAAGAATTATTGCTAAAAAAGGAAACTTTTCAAATATCTTGAAAATGTTCCTTTGAAGGTATTAAAATATTTCTCATTAGAAATGCAGAAACATTTATTTTTCATTTGGTATTTTCTGTTTACAAGTTGACCTAGATTGTATTAGAGAAAAATAATTTTTAAAAATGAACTAAAAGGTTTCATTTTGGGTTTTAAGGAATATTTAAATTGACCTCTTGCATATCCCTGATACTCACATGGGATATAATTTATCTATGTTAATTTTGCTCTGTTGGCTAGCAGAAGGTATTTCTTAAAATAGAAGGAAATAGAAGATTCCCTTGTGCAGATGTGAATAATTTATTTGCCTCTTGTCTATTTAAGCAGTGGCTCCAACCCATGCTACTTAGTAAAATGACTGATATGAACCTCTACCAATTTTAAATTTGTATTCAGAACAGGGGATTAAAAAATATGCTGTCAACTACAGATTGTACATGTAAAGCAGGTACTTATTTCCACTTTAATGGCATCTTTACACCTAGGGGTCAAGAAATACTTCAATACTTCCAAGTATTTAACTTTTATATATGATGGTCTTACCAACATACATTGTTGTGGCCTTTTTCAGTTAGCATAGGAATCCTGTTGTTAAAAAACCAGGGGGTTGTAAATATAAAACCAATGGAAAGTCTACACATTGACTTGGTAACTTTCGTTAGAGTTGTTAGAATTTTTTAGATTTCTATAGATTAAAATAACTGTGACATCGATCTTGCCGCCTGTAGGTAAAGACTTGTGGCAGACTGGGACTGCAGAGAGGTAAGATACACAAAGAGGAGAAGGGAAGGCAAATGGGTGTGCCAAGTCTCTCTATATCCTTCTTCCTACTTCTTCCTTGTAAACAAGCACTCCCAACCCTGAAACCTCACAGAATGCAGTGTCTTCCTCTTCAACAAGTGAAAGCATTTTGTTCTAAATTAGAATTAAGAAATGTTTTTAAAAATAATTTTTAAAATGTTGTTTTCCAGAAACCTCAAACAATTTTAAATATATATTATTTCCATTTCTATTATTATGAAAAGAACAGCTGGCTGCCCTGACACTCAAGGAAACTGATTTCAAGAGTCCTCTAGTAAGACCAAGAGTCCTTAAAGGAGGCCACTGAGCCTCCTTTGATGTGCTAGATGGTGGTGATGGTGCTAGATAATGATGATGGTGCTAGATAAAATTAGGATTTCTATTAACTCCATTTACTGGAAGTCAGCCTGCAAACCCCAGTAGCGTCCATAAAGAATAGCCAGGGACTTTTGTGATCATAGTGACAAAAAACCTAGAAGCCTTTTTTAAAGATATTGTAACTCTTCAAACAGAGGATTCTTAATTAGCTGCATTTGATATCACAGTGGGAAATGATGGTGCTAGATAAAATTAGGATTTCTATTAACTCCATTTACTGGAAGTCAGCCTGCAAACCCCAGTAGCGTCCATAAAGAATAGCCAGGGACTTTTGTGATCATAGTGACAAAAAACCTAGAAGCCTTTTTTAAAGATATTGTAACTCTTCAAACAGAGGATTCTTAATTAGCTGCATTTGATATCACAGTGGGAATGCTATGAAAATTAAATTACTATTCACTCATTTCAATCTCATTACTTATACTATTTACAAGATTATACCTGCATTTCTTAACATATATAGAAAAGTGACTAAAAATCTCTTTTTGATACACTTACATGTATCAAAATGCGCACCTCTGCAAGATGCATATGAATCATTGCCAGAATAATTTTTCCTG